AACTTCACACACGATCACAGGCACACACACACACACACGCAAGCACTCACAAATACACACAGAGACATAGACACACAGACAAACAAACAAATTCACATTTTGTGGGAACGCACGGAGAGAAACCACGTGTGTTTGCTATTTAATTGTAACACAGAAAATAGCTATCATGATAGATTTCACTGCGGATGAATGAGTGAATGAATGAATTTTGATGAACCAATTGCTTAGTGAATTAAAGAACAAACGTATGTATGAATGAATGAATGATTGAAGAAACGAACGAACGTGCAAACGTACGTTCAAACTAACGAACATAACAAAAGTACGAACGAACGAATGAATGAATGAATGAATAAATGGTTGAACGAATAAGCGAACGAATGAACTATGAACGAGTGAACGAATCACCAAAAGGCACAAAAAAAGAAATAAAATATTTTCATATCACATTCAATGAAACGGGCATAAATCAAGCGCTCGAATATATAATTTATGCATTACAGATCTGATGATGATGGTGATCACGCACACATACACACACACACATACATACAAACACACAGACACACACACAAACACACACACACGTACGCATTATATTCAGGTATGCATTTGCAGTGGCACATGGTTTAATTTCTCCTATAAAAACTAATGCACATAATGGTTGTAACTAATTGTGATGACGACGACGACGATGAAGAAGATGATGATGACCTTATAACTCATATAAACGATCGTAATACTTAATTATAATATTCATAGATCGCAATTAACAGTTTATCCATAACACTTTCGTCATAGCTAATCATGGTGAAAATTGTTTACCAGCCCCGTCAAAAATGGATCTAAAATTTTCAAGTCAAAGACTCGCGTTTTCGTCATCGTCATCGTCGTCGTCGTCGTCAACTCTTCTCAAACAGACCGTGCGGAGGTTTTTCGTGCCATCAACAACACCAAAGAGATCATTAACAACAACACAAAGGACATCAACAACAACAACGCAAAAGACATCAACAACAACAGCAACAATGGCATCAACGGCCAGATCATCATCATCATCAGTGGCAGCAGCGTCTTCAACTCCGAAACGAGTTTGCGATATAAACGAGAAATGCTTCTCATCGCCGACCCCAACTAGAAATAATTCAAAAAAATTCATTTTCAACAATTTTAACAGGAAATTTTTCAACAACAACAACAACAAAACACCCAACATAAACAACGTCAGAAACAGTGCAGATAACCTGCTAACACAGACAGATAACGACAACAATTCCTACTACAACAGGTCGAAGCAACTAGTTAACATATACACGACCAACTCTTGTAATGATCTGTGCAACATTATTAACGAGGACACTTTTAATTTCAGTAAAAAATACAGAAAAAACAACATTAATTCTTTTAACAACGACAACAGCGGCTACAACAACAACATCAGTTACAACAACAACAACTACAACAACTACAACAACTACAACCACAACTACAACAACAACTACAACAAAACTAAATTTAGGTCAGAAAAACAAAATAAAAATAGCATTATTAGCGATATCTTTAACTTGAACAATTTTGACAAATCATACAACAGTTACAACAACAACTACAACAACAACATCAACAACAACAACTACTACTACAACAACAACAACAACAATAATAATAATAATAAGCTAGAAATTTTTCAAATAGTTAGACTTAATAGCAAGGATTTCCATATTACAGATTTTGACTGCTTAAATTTCAATAAATCCATAAACAACATAAACAGCAGCAGCAACAACAACAACAACAACATCAACAACATCAGCAGCAGCAGCAAAAACAACAACAACATCATCAACAATAACAACAACTTCGTCAGTCTAGAAAAAAATTATAATGGTTTGGATGAGGACATAAATAGGAGTAACAACAACAACAACAACAACAACAACAACAACAATAATAATAATAACGATGACGTCAACAACTTCACTAGTAACAACAACAACAACGACAACAACAACAACAACAACGAAATTATCGCAAATAATAATAACTTAAAAATCGAAAGCGGAATCGACAACAACAATGAACTCAACAACAACGTCGACAACATTAAAATTGATGACGTCATTGATGACAACAACAACAACATTAAAATTAACGACGTTATTGATGACAACAACAGCAACAACAGCACCATATACAACAACAACAACATTAAGACAACATCATCTGCAACAAAACCTTACACTAAAATTACCAAAAGCGTTAGCTTTAAGTTAGATCCAAACGAAGATAGCTTCAACAACAACAACAACAACAACAGCAACAACAACAACAATAATAATAGTAATAACATTAACAACAGCAAACACAATTTTAAACAACTTGTCGAAAATTACATTAATGATGTCATAAGTAAGAGAATTAATGAGAATCGACATATTGTAATTAAGTTGAATAAAACGGATAAATTCAACAACAACAAAAATGACAACATCAACAACAA